TCATACATACTTACATCACGCACACACACACATTCACACACATACATGTATATCTCCGACCTGAAAGTGTTTGGCAAATTTAATTAAAATTTCATTGCCCACACACACTCACACACACACACGCACTAACACACTCTATGAATTGTATACCCAAACCCATTTATATCGCCAGCCAAGGCGGCACACCCACTGCTGTCCACGGTTCCACTCCCTGCTCTCTGCTGATGCCATGACGATTAGATTTTATTAAAAAGCCAAATATGCACAATTATTATGCTACGCCAACCACTTGACAGTCATGAGTCCATGAGCCTTAATATATACGAGATGTGCCGCACCCTGCCCAGCTGGCCGCCCAGCCGCCCGGCCATTAACATTAACAATACCCCTCGGCTGTCTGTCGCTGCTGTCTGCGGTGTCCTGCCGTCGTTCATGGAGCGCACAATTCGCTTATTTGCTTTTTAATAAAACAGGTGCTCGACCTTCAGCGTTGACGGCGCGTAAATGAGGGGCGGTAGAAGGCGAGTGCTACGGGCTGCGGGGTGAGGGCTGAGGGGTTGATATTTCCCATTCTGTGCGCTCCCTTTTTGGACGAAACATACGCTTTGTGTGCGTATGTCCTTGCTATCTTTTATCATTTAATTTCGCATTCAAACGTTTCGCACCCTCAGCAGCATCATCAAAAGGATGCAGAAAGGATCACGCACACAGGACACAGTCAAAGTCATGCCACTGCCTACCGCCCTGGCCTCCTCCTCCTCCTCTGCTTTTGCCCAGCCTTTGGGAAATGCGTGCGGTCGTCACTCGACCCTGGCAATGTTGTCATTTTTCATTTTGCGCAGCGCCCCCGAAAAATTTGTATATGTCGAAAAGTCCAACATTCCGAGCAGGACCAGAATCATCATCATTATCAGCAGCAGCAGCAGCAGCATCATCATCATCATCATCATCAACATTATCATCAGCCACTCGAACTTTCGCCTCAGCATCTTGATGCTGGCTGCTGATCCGGCAATTAGGCCAAGCGTAAAGCGTGCGCAACTATTGAAGACGGACGGACCCAGACCTGGCCAGGACCAAGCAGCAAGACATTGACGACTGCCAGCAGAGGACGAGCCAGCCGAGGGGTTGTTCCTTGTTTGCCTGCTTGGTTTGTTCGCTGCTTCACTGGCTGGTCTTTCCGCTGGCTGTGCGTGTCCTCCAAATCGTTTTGTGATTGCTAAAAGCTGTCGTTGGACTTTATTGGTTTCCTGCCACAAGATTTCATCTACACTGAGAGAGAACAGGACGTGTTTCAGCAATTCACTTGAAATACTTGAAAATAATTAGAGCACATGCAAATTTAAGTTTTATACGCATTTACAATATATAGCAAACTGTATATATTTTTTTTAACTACAGACAGAACTAAACACATATCTTTGTCAATGGTAGGAAAAAAGACGCGTGGTAGAGTTTCTTGGTAAGCAGAATAATAGAAAATAGCGAATAGAGACTAGAAATTGTTTTTGTAGAGCCCTATACAGCACAGATCACAGATCTGCAAAAACATCATAACCATTTCCGTTTTATTTAAATATTTTTTATTTATATACAGTCATTAAGCTAAATACACTTTTTCCTAATATATATTAAAATTGTAATACGGATTTTAAATTCTATTTTACTATGATTAGCTATATTTATTGAAGTTCTGTTAAAAAAATATATATCCAATCTATTAAATTGCATTATATTTTCCTGATTTTTTAAGTATAAAAATTTTGCATTTACTTTTATGTAGACTACATGGAATTTTCACATTATTTTTTAAATTTTAAATCAAGTTTTTTTCGAGCATGGTGAAATATTTTAGACGTATTGTAATAACAGTTTAGATAAATTCCAAATGTATGTGAGTTTCTAGAAAGTTCTTCTCAGAAGTAATCAACTAGGAGCTAAAATTGCAATAATTAGTTACAATAATAATAGAATAGAGTGTTCTATTTAGGAGTGCTCCTTTCGTCAATTCCTTCATAACACTAAATATGATATTTATTTTACTCTAATCAAATTTGAAAGAAACACAAGAATGAAATCCATACATATATGTGAATGTATGTATATATTCTAAGCGCTTATATATGGGGACAGACAAATGGATTCTAGATCGACCCTGTAATGACACCTTGACAAAAAATATTTCTATATAATCTGTGCGAGCTGCATTTAATTGCAACTCACATTCATTAAGCCATCTTTAAGGACTGGCAGCACAATTTCGCACAGTGTAGGAGCGTGCGTATTGTGCCAGTATTTTGGACTATCATTTCTATTATCAAAAGTCATTGACACCCTTTTATTTATTTTTACATTTATTGTTTTTCTGCTTCATACATTTATCTGGGCGATAATCGCTTACATGCCACTTGTGCGGCATGAGGGGCAGGAGACCAAGGAGAGCAGGAGGAGGAACAGCAGCAGTAGCAGGAGCAGGAGCAGTAGCAGGAGCTGGAGTAGTAGCTGAACTTAGGCAAGGAAAATGAGAACAATGCCGTGAAATAAGGATTAATGGTGTACACGATTATTTGTGCCTGACGACAGACAGTCGGACAGACAGACAAACATATTAAAAAATACAATACGAAAACTGTCGCGAGGGCGCAAGATACGGATGCGAATGCGAATGCGGCTGAGGATGAGGACATCAGGACGTAAGGACATCAGGCAGTGGCAGTGCGCGCATATTCATGGCATGGCGTAGGTCGAATTTAATAAAACGTCCCTGGCTGCGAGTGTGCACTTGCCTGATTTCTAGCTGGGGGGATGCAGAGGGGGAGAGAGAGAGAGAGTGGGGTGGCTTGGGTGGTTGGGCTGTTTTGTTGTTGTCGTTATTTCGCCACGCTTCTGGTTGGCTGAGTGTTTTTTTTTTTTTTTTCTTGTTTTTGGCTGGGCTGCGCACAATTGTTTTTGCTGCTTGGGGTTTCCTTTATTTGGATGATGAAGAATTTATTTGAAAATTAAGAAGACAAATTATTTAATTTCGACTTTATGAGCTTTCCCCCTGCCCACGGCCAGTTTGCCAGCTGGCAGCTGCCTGCTGCCTCCTGCCTCCTGCCTGCCTATAGTACTTTAATCTCCATGCCCGTGCTTGAAGGAAATCAGCGACCACTTCTCGGACTCGCACGAAGTTCTTGGAAAAGGGTTTGCGACTGGGCGGCAACACGGCGTCGGCCATTTTGTGCCATTTGATAGGGCCAAGAGCTGGCTGAACGCGTTTTGCATTTTATGCCCCGTTCTTGGTAATAAACACGCAGCAAACGCGAATGCGAGTCGGCAAGGGTTATGGAGGGGCCTCGGGCCGGGGCTTGGACTCTTGGCACGAGCACGTCAGAAACTTAATTTCGTTTAGTTTTATGTACATTTCATTAAGCAAAAAATTTCTAGCGACGCGACAGACCACGGGCCATGCCAATGGCTCGAGCACTCGCTCGCTCTCTCTCTCTCTCTCTCTCTCTCTCACACTCTCTAGCTCTGACTCGGTTATACAATGTATGCCACAATTGTGACCCTGCGACCCCGTGTCCTGTACGTCCTGCAAAGGACTTGGACTTGAGCGAAGGGACAATCAAGATAAATAGCAAGCGGAATTTTTATTGCCGAAAGGATACGAATGAAAATAAAGAACAACAACAAAAAACAGCTTATAGTTAGTTACAACAACAACAACAACAACAATAAAAAAAGAGTTGAAAGTGTTGACGTGACGGCGACTATGTCCTCGAGGTCTCACACAAACACACACATGAGCAGTCGAACAACCACCCCGCACACACCTTTATATGGAAAATTGTCAGCATGTTTTGTATTTTCCAAATTTATTGCCACTTGCAACATTTTGTAGACGGGCAGACCATAGATTATCTCGTCGTTTAGAGCCTAATATGCACCAGAGGCAGCCGCAATATGATTTATCACCGACCAGCCGATATATGATCGCCTCTGTGTGTTTGTGTGTGTGTGTGTGTTTGTTTGTTTACGGATGCCACAGAGAGAGACTCCGCTTAGCCCTTGACAGTGCCACTCCAGCTGCGAAGCGCAACATTTTTAATTACACTTTTTACAAGAAAATTAAATGGCAACATGTCATCGCTAATTAAATTGTTCTTCTTTCGTTTGTTAGTTTATTGCTCTTGTTGTTCTCCTGTCTGAAATGTGTGCGCGTATGAGTGTGTGTGTGAGCGAAGGAAAGGGTTGTCCTAGATAGCAGCGTTGATAGGGTTTAGGGAAAATTCATTTGTCAAAATGAGTTCTATTTACATGGATACTTGTTCCACTGATGAGGACATCAATAGAAATTATGCAAAAGGGAGTTGAATTTATTACTGTGAAGTGACATGTACTAATTTACTTTCAAGTTACCTTTGACTTTTGATACAATTTATAATGCTAATTAGATCAGTTGTATCTATAGTAAAATTTAGTTAATGTATTAATTAAACTTATAGGAAAATATCTCAACAATTAATTAAAATTTCGCGCTTCATGTACGCAAGCTTAGAGTTGGCAAAATCAAAGCCAAAAGGCTTGCAACGCTGTCTGCCTATTTTTTGCGAATTAAAAAATACCTTAGTATTTTTATGACAGAGCTGCCAGACATTTAAGATTTTACACCAAACTAGGCGCCATTGTTGAATTAGCTACCAAAAAATTACAACAAATATATTCGCACAAGCTTGCAACGGGTCTTCTGACATTTTATAAGTAAAACACTATATTTTTCTGGTTGTATTGAGATTTCTAATTTGTTCAGAAATAAATAAATAATTTAACAAGTGTATATGTATTTTTTTTTACTTTTTTTTTAGTTTTAAATTGCTGGAATCAGTCGAGTTGGACTTCTTATACATTTTCTGCCGCAAAATGCTGCACGCCATCTAAATACTTAACTTTAAAGCCAAGCTCACAATAACCTCACCGCCTCTGAAAAGAAAGAAGCAAACATTTATAAGACAGTCAGATCCAAAGAATATAATTTATTTAGAAAAAAAAACCAACTAATTATAAGGGTGCAGTAACAAAAATTTTAATTGCTTCATACGTTCTAGTATCTCTGGGCGTATCACAGTCTGCACATCACTTTTTGGTTTTATTTTTTCCTTTTCTTGCTCACAGATGGCGCTGCAGTCGGCCCATTCGCGAGTCTCGTTCTCGAACTCCAGACGGAAACGGACAAAGGGCGGCGCCACACGCATAAACGTATATAGGACGCGCGTACGCAAATCCTCAGTGGAATCCGCGCGCAATGGCTTGCGGCAGTTATAGCAGAATTCGTCCATATCTCGCAGCAGATACTCCAAATCGGCCCGCAAGCTGGCCGTGCATCTCGAGAACAGGATCTGCAGCAGCGGGCCGGTGGCATTGCAGAGGCGCCCATCGACGCAGATCAATGCCTGCTGATAAGGACTGCCCACGGACAGGCTGTTGATGTGATACCTGCTTATCTGAGCCTTAGTGAGCGAACTGAAGGCCAAATACCGTTCCAAGGACCTAAACACAATGTGCTTGCGTTTCGTCTCCATCAACGCAGCACTATTATTCTTATTGCTATCACTAAAATCTTTAAAATTTACCTTGCGCAGATTGATGTAGGGTGCATCCAGCAGATTTTGCAGCTGCGACGACTCCATCAGTGTATTGTCAGTGGCAAGCGCCTGCGAGACGCTCTGCGACTCGGCTTGATGCGGCACCTGTTGCGCTTGACCGGAGGTTGTCGGTGGCTCTTCTTCCTCCGCTTCCCCATCCTTACTTACATGGAGTATTACGCCGTCCGTCTCGATGCGGACCATAGCTGCCACTGGCAAGGGACGAAATTCGTGTCTTAGCTGCGGCACGTTGTCGGGCATGATGCAGCGTGCTTTTTTCCTATTCTCGACTTGCGTCGGTTTCTTGCTGGGAACAGACTTTACTGGTAGAACCGGAGCGGATTCTTCGACTTGCTGGACATTTGTATCTTTAACTGTTTCTTCAGGCTGTGGAGCAGGCAATGGGCTCTCCGCCGTAGGAGGCGGATTCAATTCATCGTCCAGCCGATGCACCTCTGCCAGTAAATTTTGATATGAATCTGAGGTGTTGGGACAGGATGACGGCAGCACATTGCCAACGATCGAATCGCTTATCTCAAGGCAAGCTAATTCTTCTGAACGCTTCTCCTCATCAGTGTCCAAATCGATGATTTGATCCTCGGGGGCGATAAGTTCGCAATTGAAGGTATCGCTCGAATTGTCGCTATGCAGCGAGAAGCGCAACATGTTGAGGAACTTTATGGGCTCAGTCTTGACTTGAACTTCACTCTTCTCCGCTGGGACTAGATTAGTTTGATTGAGTGGATCGTTTTGGGTCTCTATCTCCATAGCCTGTGAGGCGGGCTGCACATTTTGAATGTCCACAAAACAAGGTGGACTTGGAGACACATCAAGCTGTGTGGGTGGACAAGTGGATGCTTGCGATGATTCTGAAATGGGTAAAATATTTATTAACTTGATGCACGCCTTAGTCTCAATAGAATCATTCAAGTCTGACTCACCTATAGGCAACTCAGGCGTTTCAGGTACAGTTGCAAACGTTTGATCAGACTGAGTTGAGGTGATCTCTTCTTGACGGTCCTCTGAGCTTTGCGATGATATGACCTGAGCGGGGGAGGAGCTTTGCGACATGAAGAGCGGCACTAAATCGAGGAGATACAATTGAAACATGACAAACTTCGCTCCAAGACATTCACCACTTACATGTATCAGGTGGAGTTGTTTCCTCCATGGGAACATTATCTGTCCAGTTGATTGAGTGGGCAAACTCCTCTGTTATCTGTGGCACTTGGTGCAGCCAGCGATCCTGGGACCAACACATGGCATAAAACTTCTCCGCCTCTTTGATCAGGTCCTGCAAATTACCGATTTCATGGCCGGTGCGTGCATGGAAACTGCGCTGAACAATCTCATCGAAGTTTGTGAAGCGGATTAATTCCTCCCGGTGCAGCATCTTGGGTGACAATTGGCCCAAGTCAAGGGAGCTCAACTTAACGCCTTTCTTCTGCAACAGCTGCGGCAGCATGCGCAGCTTCACGTAGAAATTAGTGGGCCAGTTGCCTCTGGACAGCACAAAGTAATAGCACAAGGACAAAATGTTCTCATCCTCGTACAACGAGGCGGCTCCATATATGCTCGTATATAGCTTAAACTCCGTATAAGTCAGATGGGAGAGTATGCGCCAGATGGTGTTCTTGAGCCCACGGCTCGTGCAGAGCAGGTATTTCATGTTGTGCACCTGGAATATGAAATTTGAAATCGTTGTTAGCTCTCATGTTTCCACTGAGTCCAGTTTTATCTACCTTCGCGACGGGGGTAAAGAACTCCTCGACTGCCTGCAAGGCACTGGTAGGTACCATGACTTCTTTGGTTATATCATTTATATGCAAAGTTTCAACCATTTCTACTGCTACCTTGCTAGCTGCTATTGAAGGTTTGTTCACTGCAACCGAGGCTTTTGCCTTCTGCAGCGCAATTCCACTCGATGCTGTAGTGGATGATGATGCATTATCCTCAGGCTTCTCAGCAACGGTTTTGGTCAGGTCCATCACAGCTTTGGTAAAGATATCAGTGCTTGTTGCCACGCTGGTGGTAGTTGTCTCCTCGCTGGTGGAAGATGTTGACTCTGCAGCAGCTGCTGTTGCAGCTGATCCGCCATTCTCTGTTTCTGCATTTGCATTTGTGCTCGAGTCCGATTCAAGAGTCTCTTTGGGTGCAGTCCCCGCTTTTGCGCTCCTCAACGCAGCGGCTGCCTTCTGATATGTCTCCAGACTCTTCCATACAAGCTCTATATTTTGCTTCTGTTCGTCTGATAGCTTGCCAGCAAAATGTTCGGATAACAGATCGCGCTTCTCGGGGTACCTCGCTGCTCGCCTATCTATATAGACCTTCAAATTATAGGGTGCGTACCTAACCATATTTAATTTAGGCATACTGCAAATGTTAGAGATTAGCTGATTTAAGCATATAGCAATTGAAGGACTCACCTATTAAGCTTGGCTTTCCTAGCTGCATACACAGCACCCAATCCTTGACTGCTCTCACGGTTCTGTGCTGCCTGACTGGATTCGGACGCGAGATCCTGTAATGGCAGCTGCAGCAGTTTGGCCTTTAGCAGTGACGGACAAGGCTTGAAGGTGCATTTGTATTTCTCGCGAATTTCCGGGGTGCGGTAGAAAGCCTTGTAGTAGGCGACCATACAATCGTGGGCCGTTGCTTTGGCATACTGCGGCTCCTGCTGCATTTGTCGCACAACCTCGTCCAGGTTTAACGTCTTAGAGAATATATTGAACGAGACGGGGAATGTCACCTCAGTGCTCGACTGCGGCTGTGGCAGTGCCTCCTTCTCCTGGTCAACCTGTAACTCAATTCGTGGTAATAACATCTGCTCCGCTTTTGACTCGGCAACGGGAGTTCCACTTGGGTCCTCGTCCTCTGTCGCCGTTGGGCTGCACTCCACCGCGAATCCCATTAGTTTCTCTTGCAGCTCAGCTGGCGCGGCATTGAAGTTATAGTTGCACAATTTGCGAACACGCTGATCGATGTAGAACGAATTATAGAAGCGGCGCAGCAGTATCAGATCGTAACGCTCCTCGCGGAGAATTTTCTCAACTTTCTGCTTATCCTTCGAAAATGAATTCGCCAGCTCAATTCTCACTGTGTCATAGTTGATGTAGCGCTTAAAGGTTTGCAGCGACACTGGAAATTCATAGGTTTTGCCCTGTAGATGTACCAAAGTCTTATCATCACGCTCCAAGACATTATTTTTGTTGCCCTCATTCGCATTGCAATCAATTTGGGGGATATCAGGTGCTGCAGGTGTTTGCACTTGTTCCCCCAGCTCCGAGTTTTTTGGCTCGGCTTCTTGCAAGTCGAGCTCTTTTTCATCGACGGCCTCAACTGCACCAGAGTGCTCCATATCAGTTGTCGGGTTAGCAGCCTGTAGCTGCAGAAATTGCTCACGAAGTTTACTCGGACATGGTTTTAGCTCGTATGGATATTTCTCCCGTATTTCTGGTTTTGTATAGAATTCTATATAGTATTCGAATGCGCAGTCATCTTCTGACATGTCTTTGTGCTGCCCATCGCTCATCATGCATTTAACAATCTCCTCCAGATTCCGAATGTTTCGCTTAAAGCATTTAAATGTAACGGGCAACGTTTTCGCCATTTCCTCAAGTTGCTTCTGTTTCTTCTGCTTGTTCTCCAAGGCATACTCCTCTGCGGCCTGTGCCATCTGCTGCTTGGCCACCTCATCCAGGGGCTCAGCATATTCCAATAGCTTCTCCAACAGCCCAGCACTTGCATTGGCAAATCGATATTCGTACAAGTCGCGAGTGCTCGGACGTACATAAAACGAACGATAATAACGTTTCAATATCTTTTGGCATTGCGGATGCTGCGGACTTGTCATTTCTGCTAGCTGCTCCTCGTCCTGGATGAAGCGCAGGAGCAATGGCCTCAGCAGGTCCTGGTGGTTGATGCAGCGCATAAATGTGTCGAACGACACAGGGAACTTGAAACGGCCAGAGCTACAAAAGCAAAGTATTAATATAGAAATATATAGAATATTAATGGAAGAGCAAGATTAAGTTTTCTCATACCTGCCCAGATCCTCTACGACATCCAGCTCACAATCAGAGGTACTCAATTCTGAACTACTGAAATTGTAGATAGTTACAAATATATAATTTCTTAATAATTTTCTATTATTACCTAGTATTTGTATCTATATCGGACTCTGATGACCCTTCGGCTTCCATGGCTTGGGATAGCTCAGACAATGGCCTGCAATGGAATTCTCATTAGACATTCGCTTAAGAAAATTAACTAGGATATACAAACTTACGATTTCCCCACCTCCTCTCTCTTCACAGGCTCAGCCAGCTGCATTAACAGTTGCCTCAGCTCAATTGGAGCTGCATCAAAATTGTATTTGAATTGCTCTCGTACTCTCGGATCGGTATAAAATAAATAGTAGAAGCGCTTCATTAGCTGTTCATCGGATGGACATTCGTTAGCCAGTCCCTTTTCCATCTCATATGTGAAGGCGAGCTGTTTACCCAGCTCCTCGTAATTGATATACTTAACGAATGTCTCGAAGCTAATCGGGAACTCGTACGTGATGCCATCAAATGTTATCAACTTTCGCTCGGCAGCTAGCAATGCATTTGCCTTATCGATTGCTGGGATGTCGGCCAATAGGTCAACCTCCCCTGGCAGCGATAGCAACTTCTCACGTATTCTACCCGGACAGGGTTTCACCTGGTACTCGAACCGTTTACGTATTATCGGATCCCAATAGAATCTATTGTAGTATTCCAGCGCACATTCATCTGCGCTGAAGCCTACGTACTCCCCAGAGTACATCATCTGTTGGACAATGTCGTCCATATTTCGGATATAGCGCCTGAACAGCTTGAAGCTAACCGGTGGCATAATCTCCGACCACGCGTCGCCTACAGGTTTGACTGGTGGCAAGATATCTGGCTGATGCTCCTCTACGAATGGCAAGAACTCTGGCTGATGCTCGTCTCCGTATGGCAGGACTTCTGCCGCCTCTACGGAGCCAGGAGGCGACTCGTGCCTGAATATGCATCATTATTATTATTATTAAAAATTACAATAGATATTTGAGCACTTACTCTGCGAATGCCCCTGCAACCTCTTCATCTAGTTCAGCTGGTGATGCCGGCGGAGAGACTTCATTATCCTGTTCAATTGGTTGCGATGTAGACATCCGACATCCTTTAGTTTTCATTTGGAACAGCGTCTCTCTATCCTCTGGACTGGGCAGGGAGAGTATGCGATTTTTCATTGCAGTTGTGCAGGGCGCCAGGACGTAAGGATATTTCTCGCGTATCTCGGGCGTCAGATAAAAGTCAAAGTAATACTCATAGGCGCAGTCCTCGAAGCCCTTGTAGGAGTAGTCGGGCTCGTTCAGCTTTAGTCGCCACACAATGTCATATATATTGATAATGTATTTCTCAAACTCATTAAAGCTCACTATTGAGGGTGTGTAGGGAGTCCTTGGAACGGCATGCTTGCCCTGTGGACTTTTTCCTACCTTTGCCTTAAAGTTTGGTGATGTAGGCTCGCGCGATTTACTGCAAATAAAATGTATATCTATTCGTTAGGATTACATTTGGCTAAGAATTAGTCGGTAGTGGCCGACTAGAAGATGCACTTAGCAAACAATTTACTATTCAGAATTGAACTTTTAATTTTTAATTTTGATTTTCGTTAAAAGTAACAAAAACCTACATCGAATATCTGGGTTCTCGTGCTGCCATTTCTTTTCAATTAAAAATATATAATGTTTAGATTACAGAGTTCTAGGACGTAATGAGGAAAATATTATAAGCTTTCACAGCACAATATGAATATATTTTTTTGACACGTCAAGTATTTAGAGTTTAATGTCATTCGGTCGAACGGACGAACGGACAAACTGTCAAGTATGACAGCACAAACAATATGAATGTATATTTTTGACATGTCAAGTAATTAGAGTTTGCTGTCATTCGGTCGAACGGACGGACGCACAAACAGTCAAGTACGACAAAAGCGACTCAGTTCGTTGCTCAGTCGAATCTGTGTATCCTATGAGACTAGTCAAGCATTCCCATTCCGCATGTTACATATACGAGAGAGACTTACTGTGATTTCTCCTGCATCGTCTTTACGGCCATCTCATCTAAGGGCACGCCCATTTTTAGCAACTGCTGCCTTAGAGCTGCGGGCGCCGTTTCGAATTTACATATTTCCATGTAGCGCCGGCTCGAACTGATGTAGAATGAATTATAGTATTTGCGCAATAGCTTACGACACACATCCCTGTCGAGCAAAAGCTCAGCACGCTTCGTCTTACTCTTGGTCTCCTTGCGCACAAGAATCTTGAGTAATTCAGTCTTATGGATGTAACGCTTAAACGTGGCTAACGAGACGGGAAACAGGAAACGGCCAGCTCTGTGCATAGGAAATATATGTTATATATGAGTAATTTACTGATCCACTCTTCCACTCACCTATTTACTGTGACCTCATGGCCATCCTCGGTTGAAGCTCGGTGTATATCGTTTGATTCCGAGAACTGATCGGACGAACCAGTCGTGCAGCCCTGCAGCAACTTCTGCTTGACGCGCAGCGGACACGATCTCAGCTTGTATTCATATTTCGTTCTTATTGTGGGTTCACTGTAGAAGTTATTGTAATACCACAGCGCGCACTCATCCAAGGTTTTGCTTGCGGCGCCTGGTTCATTGCTCTGAATTTGAAATGCTATGTCCGGCAGGTTTTCCACTACTTTGCTAAATACACTAAATGGAACTGGTGGAGCGCTGCAAAACAGCCATTTATTAACAGTTTAAATAGTTTCACAGTCGTATATTATTTACCTGTTATTTTTCTTTTTATCTGTTAACCACTTGCGCATCTGCTCGGACGCCCTGGGGTCACCTTTCATCTTCTTTTTGCGTGTACTAGTCATTATTATTTTTGGTTTGGATTATTAAAACGTGTGCATTTCATGTGTTAAATGTAAAATTCCGAAAGACGCAAATAAAAATTCGCGCTAGTTTCCTAGGAGCAAGCTGCAGTGTTGCTACGGTGTGACCGAAGGCATGAAAAAAAATATAAAAAGTCACAAATCGACTGTGACTGTCTACATTAATTGACATAAGACATAGATGGCGCTTTGTACAATGAAAATAATATTTAAAAAATTATATGCAATATCCCTAAACGGTTTTTTTTTTTAATATAATTAAGTCATACGCTTATATCTGATTATTTTATTTGCCCAATAAATAATACACTGACTTTTCGTATGTATAATGTAGTCCCTTCCAGCTATCAGCCCTAAAACTAATTCAATTATAATCAAAACATAATCGTACTCTAATTATCAATCGGCCTGAGATATATTTTGAGCTGCACTGATTAGTGTGTCGTGGATATCCTTCGCCGACTGCACGTGAACACGAACTGTGTTTAGATAAGTGGGATATGGAATAGGTCCAGCCGGATTGTCCGGTATAAAATTGTCCATTCGAATGGCCGTCACAGCGCCGGGCAAATAATGCTGGGACGAGTTTAGCTGCTGCATGCATTGGATGGCCGTTTTGAGATGCAGTTCCATTTGATCACAGTACGCGTAAAAGTCCTCCAGGTGCTTGTCAAAGCGGGGCACATGACCATGGCCGCCATTGTCCCGCTTCAGATTGTCCGCCAAATTGTTTTGCTGCAGAGTGAAGGCACTGGACCGAATGGTTAGGAACATAGACTCTCGCAATGGTCCCAGCAGAGTCTTCACTCTCGATATGTTGTCTAGCTTTTCGGCTTGCTGCTGCTGTTGTTGCTGTTGTTGTTGTTGCTGCTGCTGCTGCTGCTGTTGTTGATGCTGCTGCTGCTGCTGCATTGGCACTGGGCCGGACGGACCGGTGGGCATCATGGGTTGCGGCGATGACTGCATCATTGGCGAGACTTGCATCATGGGAGGTCCAGACATCTGCATCATATTCATATTAGGATTCATTTTGAGTATTTACTATACGCAAAGTAAAAAAAAAGTGCACGATTTTCACAAATCCGACTCAGCACGAATATTTCTCTGAAATAAGCTATCGACTACTAGGACCTTAATATCGGCTTGGTATTTTTCGCGTTTGGTCACACCTTGGCAGTTCTAGCAGCTGTTTTCTGTTGTCGATAATAAATATATTTCCTATCGATGACAGCATTAAAATAATTTATCAAGATAGTAGACTATTCTAATTTAACAAATTATTCTGCTAAAAATTTACGCGCAAAGCGCATTGTTAACTTCTAAGTAATATTGTGAACAAAAACTATGACTAGGTAAGTTAATGGAGTTCTGTCTTACAAACAGCGCAGCCAAGGGCGCCGAAACCCTAACCTAAAAATATACATGTATACGAGTAAGAAATGTATCATCGTGCGGCCAAACGTTTTTTCGCAGATCCAGCATCGAATTGGGCGACGTGACGCCGCACAACATAAAGCAACTGAAGAAGCTTAACACGGTTGTCTTTCCCGTCTCCTACAATGACAAATTCTACGTGGATGTGCTGGAAGCCGGCGAACTGGCTAAGCTGGCCTACTACAACGACATCGTCGTAGGCGCCGTCTGCTGTCGCATCGACACCACGGATAACAAACGACGCCTCTACATCATGACACTGGGCTGCCTCTCGCCATACCGTCGCCTGGGCATCGGCACCATCATGTTCGAACACATACTGAACTATGCCGAAAAGGATGGCAACTTCGACAGCATCTTTCTGTGAGTAAATGCAAAGTGTGTTTGATCTCTAATGCTTTATCTGCAATTCCTTCTCCTTGGTAGGCACGTGCAAATAAACAACGATGGCGCCATCGAGTTCTACAAGAAATTTGGCTTCGAGATTGTCGACACCAAAGAGCAGTACTACAAACGCATCGAGCCAGCGGATGCGCACGTCCTGCAGAAGACGCTGCGCCGCAAGAAATCCGATTCACACAATCATGCATTTAGCAATGGAGCTGTGGGCGATAAAAAGGAGCGTCGAACTTGAAGGGCGGAAACTTTTGTGACATGTGGCCCAATCCTTACTCCCAACCCTCACCATCACCAGGATTCAAGGACAAACGGAACAACTTATTTAGTTTAAAACAAATTTCATAATTGAATAAAATCCTAGAGTTAAACAAAAGCTGCTCAGTAAAACAGAAGAAGAAGAAAAGAGCTAGAAGTAAAATATGCCTTAGATAGATGACACTAAATAAACCCCCAATTGGCTTAACATGTTTTCAATTAACAAAAACATGATCTTATCAAGGCAGGCCATTAACTTGGCCTCATCAATCAAATGCGCGCGTGGCAGGCGAGTGGCATCAGTAGCTTCAGTTAGTCCATTCAACATGCAACAACCGAGCACACGCCGAGGCGATGGCTTCGTCTATTGCTACGACAGCCTGTACAGGCTGCTCTTCTACCTGGGCATCCTCACGTTCCGGCTGCACAGCCAGAGCGAAGGCGGCCCGAGGTCGACGCGGCTGCGCGTCCTCTACGCATTGACGGCACGCGCTGCCATCCTGCTGGGATTCGTGGGCGGAGTTTATGTTAAGCTGACCGATCCACAGATGTCGCAGGCCATGTTCAGCCACCTCTCGCCGCTCTTCAAGATAATCTTCTCCTGGGAGTGCATCTCGTGCATCCTTACCTACGTGGAGCATTGCCTGTCCATGGATGCGTATTGCTCGAAACACGTTGGACTGCTGGCCAGCATGCAGCTGCTGGATACTGATATCTCAGACGAGTTCCCGCATGTCCAGTGGCGCTACAATCGTACCCGCTCCAAGTACTGGTACGGCTCATCTCTCGTCTTCTGTTTGTATGTGGCGATATCCTTGGCGCTGATGTTCGACACGACGCAGTGCAGCTGCGGCTATGTGTCCACCATACTCATCGCCAGCACCTACTCCATGCTGACCTCCATGCTGGGCACGATGGGCTTTATACACATCGGCCTCATGGACTATCTGCGCATACGCTTTCGCCTCATAATGAAGCTGGTGGAGCAACAGTACGCGAAGGCAGACTCCTCAGCCAAGGCCAATGATGAGCAGCTGCAGCACATGGATCATTTGTTTGAGTTCACCAAGCGTTGCTCCCGTCTGCTGGACGTGATGAACGACGTGTGCGGGTATATCAGCGGCGCCGGCATCTTCTACGATTTCACGCACATGACCTGCTTTGTGTATATGCTCTGCCAGAAGCTGCTCCACCGAGAGGCGTGGGACACCCAGTACACATTCGTATCACTGCATCTGGGAGTTCACATCTACAAACTGATCATGACCAGCGTCTACGGCTACCTGCTGCAGCGAGAGGTAAGAGTGACTCTCCAGCTGTACGAGCACATCCTGTCAATTTCCCTGATCCTCTCCAGAAACGCAACTGTCTCCAGCTACTCAGCAACTATGCCCATCACTTTGGAAACCAGGCAACGCTCAAAAATGCTGTTGAGTCCTTCCAGCTCTGGCGTATGCACAACAACGATTCGGCTCACATTGGCTACAGCTTCCCCTGCAACATATCGCTAAACTATTTGGTAAGCACTCTAGCAACATTGTATATACATACGCATTTGAGAAAACAAAACACAGCAACATATCCCTAAACTACTCAATAAGAGACTATTTCATTGTATCTATCAAATTTTGAAAATATATTTTCATCTACGTATATTATTCATGCATTTTAGGTTTTCAACGCTTTGGCTAACTATGTAATTGTTATGGTACAATTGCTCTTTCAACTTCAGCTTAAGGATAAACACGGTCAGCCGATTCGCATACCCAAGGATGTTGAGTTGTTGAAGCCTATTGGACAAAATACGCATCTTAGTAATGCAATATAATTTTGATTTTAACTCAATAATTCACCTGTTTTCATTTGTAAAAGAATCAATTTAGCATTCACACTCGAAAAATTTCCGTTAGTGCATTTAATTATTGTTGTAAATTCAGTATGACAAGACTTTGGCATACGTGCAAATACACAACATTTGAACTAAAAGCCCAAAAAATACTTAAAGTGAATAAGCTCTTTTAATTAGTATATGCATACCAAAATACTAAATACATATATACTGCTTTAGTCATTTTTGAATACAATTAATACCTATGTATATACTAACATAAAATTCACTTTTGGAATTTTTGCATGCAACTAACTAGGTGTTCCATATGCATATATATGAAAATAAATGAACTTTGTAATCGAGTCTAACGATATGTTTAATTTTTGGCGCAAAATAGGGCTGTAAAATACTTCGCTAACGGCTTAAGGATAATCAAAATGAAAAGAGTTTAATTTTTTTGTGTTTTTATTAAAATAAAAATGTAACTGATTAAACAAACAGTAAGAACTCTTATACAATGTAAAAATGGTATTCGCTTCCGCTTGTGGTTGTGTAATATATAATGGTATATAAAACGTATTTCCTCCATGCGTCTGTCTATTCAAAGTGACTGAGGCAACGGGCATAGCTTAGAGCTGGCTGAGAAGGGTATGAATCAAGTGTAGTGTAGGCATCCAGTAATTCATTGTGATACTGCAATATCTCCATCTCCTTAAAATTTCCGAGGAGATTCATTTGACAATTCCATATATATGGCAAGTGACCCTCGTAAAAGGCTTCGCAGAGCTCGTACAGCATCTAGTGGACAGGACCAAAACAAATCATTCAAGCAAGCAATGCATATAGTTTTATTCCGAGTGCTTACCTGTAAAAAGAGGTCACTAACTGACATATAATATAGGGTCTGGTAGCCCATACGCGTGGATAGCCAAATGGCCAGGTTAACAAAGTGAGTGCAGCGCAGCTTTGGCAAATTCTTTGAGATGCGGAAGGCCTGCAGCAGGCGTAAAACATCTTTCAACTTACGGCCACAACGCGCCACGTGCTGCAGCTCCGCGTCCACATTGCTAATCATAAAGGTATAACGGTGCATATGACCCGCAATGTTCGAGGACTTGGGTATAGCATGCCAGGTGCCAGCGGTCTGACACACAATTTTTACGGCTGGCACGAAATCAATGGAAAATGTGCGAAGATGCGAAACCGCTTGAATCGTATAGGCCGCGCCGCGCCAAACGTACTTCAGTTGGTAGTCCTCGTAGATGCCGTGAACCACATTGCCGTAGTTGTACAAGGCGTTCGTAAAAATGCTATCTATCCAGCGCCTTAGCTTCGACTGAGACAGGATCCTGCCCTTATTGTTGGCCAGATGATTGGCTATCATAGTATCGCAGCAGGCCTGCGAAAAGTCAAGGAACATAAATCCCGGACGTTTGATGTCTTCCACCTGTTTGATGAGATTGTACGCCGGAAAGCGCAGCTCCATCAAAACATCCGCTTCATCGTCGTTATAGATACGCACTTTATGGGCCAAGCTGCCTGAGAAGGGAGAGCGAGACACGCGTCTAAACTTGTAGCTAATCAAATTCCATTTCTATGCCACTCACCAAATAGGATATCCTTTTGAAATATGATATTAAAGTAGGGATCCTGCAGGCGCAAGATACGCAGCACATAGCTCTTCACGGTTTGGAAATCTCGAATATTGTTGGGATCGTCAGGATTACGGATATCCTCGGCGATTTCTCTCAGATAACATTCAAAGTTGGACATTTCGATTTAGCTTTCTGAGGAAATGGCAGAATGAAAATAGTTTAGTTTTTTTGTAGATATGTATGTACATATGTATGTATGTATGTATATGTATATCTATACAAGAAGTCAATTTTCTAAATATTTTACAATTTACACATCTTTCCTTTCATCCATAACCTTCTTGCTTTACATACATATGTACATATATCTATCGCTTCTTTTCCCCTCTCTCTCTTTCTCTCATCCGATGTCCCTCTGTATTTCTCTCCCCCTCCCTCTTCTTCAATCCCTCACTCTCCATCTCTATAAAATTTAATGTTGCACACGAAGCCTTTGTGTCTAGCACTATTACTATTTTTTGTACAGCAGCTATACCTACATATATGTATGTACATAGTTCTATATGTATACACATACATACATACAAATGTGCTTATGTACTTTACCGTATGATATAAGGAATTTTGTATACTAGCAAGTAAGTGTTCAAGAACTGGGAAGCAAGCTTGCGGTATACATACATACATATGTATGTATAATGTGTGTATGTAAATAAGTTCTTTTTATTTGGCGACTAAATATACATGTGTACATACATACATATGTATGTATGTATAATCGTTTTGAGTAATAAGTACAAAAACTTATACATATGTATGTATATACATCTATGTACATACATATATGATAGTATGACATACATACATATACATACACATACGTATGTGTTATATGCATTCACACATATGTACATATTTTGCTACCACATACATATGTACATTCATATGTACTCATAGAAATCGCTTTGTTTTTATTTACAGTTTATGTATTGCAAGTTTGAGCGCAATGATAACTGCAACAAAAAGTCCGAATGCTGTTGACCAGCAGCGCCGGGACATGTTTGGTCCGCTTTGCTTTACACAACGGCACACATGCATAGCATGCATACACATACATACGCATGTACATATGTACATGCGTGCACATACTACATGTATGTACTACAAATACATATGTACACATTGTATATAGGTACACACGCAAAGCGCTATGCCGCAGTCCCCGTCCCGGACATCGTTTATCGATTTGCGAAAAGCAACAACAACACCAACACCAACAGCAGCAGCCACAACAACAAAAGCAACAGCAGCAGCAGCAGCAGTAAAAGCTCAAAATAACGGCAGCGGCAGCGCCAGCAGCAGCAGCGGCGGCGGTGACTGCGCCAGCAACTTCGTCGCTCTTTGTAGGCCGCGCCGCTTTAACATGATAGCGAAAACCCAAACACAGCAGCAGCAGCGGCAGAGAATCAGCAGAAACAACAACAGCAGCAGCAGCGACTAAAGCAAAAACAACAGCGCACACACACACGGACAAATCCACGCGCGCGCTCACACAATACATATAGTCATGCACACATACACACATACTTCTACACGCCCGTGCACACAGCCATGCCCCCGGCTTCACGCCGCCGCCGCACGCAAACGTCCCACGCCCCACACTCCACGCCTCTCGCACAGCTGCCCCCTGCTTTTGCCTGCCCGGCCGCTCAGCCATTCGCCGCTAGTAAAAGGGAGAACAGGAGAGTGTGAGTGAGTGAGAGAGATATAGAGAGAGTGAGAGAGGGGCAGAGAGGGCGGAAAGGGAAAAGGGGGACGCGGCTACCGGGCTTTTGATGGCAACGATGATGACGAAGGGAACTGGTGACTAGGCATGGGGCGGCCACAAGGACGCGGCAGGCGGCTCTCACTCGGTCGGGTGGGGGCGCTGGAATCAAGAGGCGTGGCAGGACGGGGGCGAGCTGGAGGTGTGCGGCAGGCACTCGGAATAGGAGCTGGTAAAAGGAAGGTGCTTGCTGGCTGCCGCTGCCGCTGCTGTTGCTGTTGCTGTTGCCGTCGCTGTTGCCGCTGCCGTCGTCGTCGTCACCGTCGTTGGCTGAAGCACGGGACATAGAGAAAAGCGAAAAAATATAATAAAAGCAACAAAAACGCGCACAAGCTGAAGAGATACAAACATACACACACACAGAGCTGCATGGACGTATGTATGTATGCATGTGCTTGTATACATATATATGTATGTATGTATGTATGTATATGCAGGCGGGCCGACGTCTACGTGTTAGTTTGGGCCACGCTAGTCCGCCACACAAACACAATCGCACACTCGCACACACACACGTGCATACATACATATACGCACATGCTATAGAAGGAGCTGTGCGGGCGGGACGCAGTGCTTGGGAAGGGAACTGGTCGTAGGTTCGCTACAGTCGTCGCAAGCCAACAGCAACAGCAGCAGCAGCAACAGCGACAGCAGCTGAGTGGGCCAAGTGTGTGGCGCTGGCTGAGACGACAACGACGACGACGACGACGGCAACAAAACAACTTGAAAAAGGAAAAGAGCCGCAACAAGAGCTGCTGGGGATGTGGCGGACCGAGGGGGCGGTGGTTCGGGCACAAAATTCTACAACGTTGCTGCCTCGAATCGATGGAAACAATTTGGGATGCTGCACACCAGTGGCAGCGGCAAATGGCAACGGCAAAAGCAACAGCAGCAGCAGCAGCAAACGACAACGGCAACGGCAACGTCAGCGACGGACGGCCGTTCGCTCGTCTTGTTCGTTCACTCGGGCCGCAGTCAAAGCAGCTTATGAAGAGACGAGAAAAGGGAGATGGCAAAATTAAATGCGAGTCAACGCAGCGACGGCGGACCCAGCAGCAGCGACAACAACAACACTCGAAAACAAAGCTGAAGAAAAGCAGAAGAGGCAAAACGGCAGCAAAAGTTATTTAACAACAACACCAACAACAAGAGTTGCCGTGTTGCAAAAATATAAATCACAGGCAGAGCCAGATGCAGAGGCAGAGGGAATGTATAGAGAGTGCGAAACGAAAACAGAGCGCAACGGAGAGCAGGAGAGCGCCAGAGAGCGGCGAGAGGGCGGTGGCCACAGCAAGCAACTGATAAGAGCGGCGACAGCGCTTGAACTTTACAACAAAAGCATTTAGACATCGGAAGCAGAGCAACAATGAATGCACATGATGAACGATCACTGCGAGCAGCGGGTGTCAAAATCGAATGCGAGCCAAATATATAAACAATTACATATACAACATACGTAGGTATGTACGTGCATACATAAGTATGCTAAGTAATGACCTTGAACTTCAGTTTCTGCAATCTCAATGCCAACACAGCCGTTGCCGTTGAATGAAGGTGCAACAGTTTTACAGCATTCATGTGTATGCAATGTCTGTGTAAATAAGCTGTATTAAGCCAGTCGCTGAATGCTACATACATACGTACACATACATATGTATGTTTCAGTTTGCAAAGATCTGAGCTTTGACAGAAAGCTTTTAGAGTTCACCCAAAACTGCATAATCGATTGTAAACATCCGTTAGAAAAGCTTTTAGCATGCGAAAAGAGGGAGCGAGCGAGCACGCAATACCGCGTGCAGTAGCAGAATTGTCGATAGATAAACATCTTTTGATTTTCACTTTCTTTGCAGGTCAACTTAATGCGGCTAATTCTGAAAAAAGAAAATAAAATAAAATAAAACAAAAATAGCAGAGCGGTAAAAAGGATACGACTGGAATTAAGTTTAGCTAATGCTAGATCTTCTGGTCAATGCTCGGCAAAATAATATTATACAAGTCCCCAAAACAGGACCCCAATCTGTAATACTGTACTGCGGGGAGTGGAAGAGCGGAGTGTGCTTTCAGTGCGAAACTCGTCAGTTCTGGCATGTTAGTTGTACGCTCGCACATGCACACATACATATACATGCATAGCACACATATATACAAACATATACATATACACACATACATACATACAGAAAGGCATCATCAAACAACAAAAACAAACTGAAACGGCAGCAGCAACAACAATAACAAACTCATGCTTTTGCCTTGTGGGTCGCGGCGACAGCAACGGACGAACGTAGTCATGAAATTGAGTTTGCTTTGTTGTTGTTGTTGGTGTTGCTGCTGCCGCTCGGTTCCGCACAGCAGCGGGCGTCGAATGTGGGCGGCTAACAGAAACGTTGGAGCGGCGCTGTGGCGGCGGCAATGGCGTCGCAACCGTTGCGCGCTTATTGCGAGCGCCAAACTGCGCTGTCGCTATGTGTCCCGGCTCAGTGTGTGTGCGTAAATGTGTGTCTATGTTTGTGAGTTTTTATTTGTGTCGGTGTGTATTTGTATGTGTGTATGTGTTCATGTCATGGGGCTGGCTGCCTGCCGCCGTTGCTGCTGCCGTTGAACGCCAACGACGACTCCAACGAAAACAACAACAACGACGGCGACGACGACGTCGACTACAATGATGATAATGATGATGATGATGTTGTGCTGCTTCTTGTTCTTCTTTACACGTCCTCCAACGACGGTTCGCCTCACTGTCGCTTCGTTCGTACGCTGGCGCGTTGCTCTTACTGTTGTTGCTGTTGCTGCTGCTGCTGCCCTGCTTGCCTGCCTGGCTGCTGTCGCGTCGCTGGCGCCGCTGCTTGCTGCGGTCTCTGCTCTGCTGCTGCTGCTGCTGCGGCTGCCGCCGCTGCCGATGCCTCTGTTAGGTTGTGTGCATGCAGCTCATGTGCGCTCTCCTCATTCAAGTGTCCAACTTTTGTCGAGGCGGTCATACAAAACGGCAGTCGCTCGTTCGTTCGCTCGCTGGTCTCTCGCTGTTTGCCGTTGTTCACTGTTCGCAGTTCGCTCGTTGCCTGTACGCTTCGCCTTGCCTCTGTTCTTTGCCGTTCGTTCAGAGGGGGAAGGCGCTGCTGTGGTCGTGGTCTTGCCGTCAACGGTCAATAGCGCGCCCACACGCCTATAAAAAGATTTCTGTTCGTGTTGCTTGTACATGTGTGTGTGAGTAAGTGCGTGT